AATACAATACCAAACCTCAAAATATACGAGCATTGAGCCAAATAATGGCATGGAATGGAATATTTATACTCAATATAGATCATTCCGACTTTCTTTTGAATACGATTCATTATAAAATATAACATATAGCCATTTATTTCATGTTATATTTATGTTTAATTATCGTTGTTATCGGTTTTATTATGGTTTGTTTGATATTATGGTCTTTAGAATTTTTAGTATTATTGGTTAATTAATACTTATCGATAAAAAAACTAATTACTTGAAGCTTTTCTTTCTCTGAGTAACCCTGAGTAATTGAATTGAATTGAATTTGCGGAACGCCTAGCCAATTTGATTAAACATCTGTTTATTTAATCAAAAATTTAAAGTTTAATTCAAGAACGGTTTATCCAAATCTCAACAATGTATACATGTCTGATATCGGGAGAAGATCTTGCATCATGACAGAAAATTATATAGGGTGGTCCATTTAAAAATTATGCATTTTTTGTAAGTGTATGTATGTGATTTTCGTTAACCCCTATTGGTGGGTACGCAAATATAAAAAATAACCCTGTACGTAATCTAAGTACTGTTTACAAACATGGAGTTGAAATGGTGGAACTCAAATTTATTTTATGTCGGTACCCTGGACAAATGATTCAGTACCATGGAACAGGAAATTTGAAATTTGTTTCTCGTTCTAATAAACGTATAATAAAATTCTTTTCGGTTTTATTTTTCCAGTAAAATGGATGAATAATATGCAAAGAATAAAAATAAAAAGTCTAGTTTTAAGATCTTAGAAATTTTAAATAAAGAAGTAACAGTTAGATCGGATCACCCATATAGCCAACTCCTTCGAAGCAACCCTGTATGTCCAACGTACAAATATGTTTGTTCAAATTTCATGAAAAGGCCTTCATCGCTACATTGAAATAAACATCCGACCGCTTATCTCACAAAATGCAATTTTTCTTTGATAATCAAAATAACACCTCTTGGGTATTGAAAAACCCTTTATTTCCAACGGATCGCCAAGCTTGAGTAGTCGTAAAACTAGACTTCGCCATTTGGGAACTTAAAGACTGAACAAAATAAATTTAAAAACAGAAAACAATAACGCCAGAACAATAAATCCCCTATAAAGCGTATAAAATTGACTGTCGAGCGCGTTCGACGGTGCCCTAGTGGGCATTCGCGTTCGTCGCATACCTCAACCCGTCGGAAGGTATGCACCGGCGCGATCTAGACTCGCCTCGCGTAAATCCGGTAGCAGCAAGAACCGATTTGCCGCGCTCTTTGTCTCTCCGCCACCACCTCTTTCTCTCGCACGCACCATTCCCAGAAATACCAAAGCTCCTCGAGGTTATAGGCGTAACACCGGCAGCGCTCTGTCCGATAATAAGCCGGAGGCGTAAAGAGTGAGAGCTTTCGGGTCGAGACGTGTGCTGCGCGCTGCTTGTTTAACCACGAGAATGATTACCGCACTTGCGCGTCGAGTTAATATGGCCTAGTTTTTTTTTCATTCGTTTCTTAGCTCGACGCGCTTGGTGCAGACCCGTTTGCCGTAAAAAACGTATTGTACGTCAAAATAGTCGCGAGGTATTTCGACTCGGAACAACTGAGTTTATCCAACATTTTCGCTCGTATGTAACCCACAAGATCAACAACCAACCCCCCAAATATCTTGATTAGTTTTGGTTAGTTAGAATTCGCAAGGTCTTACCAAATGCGAAAATTTATAATTAATAACTACAAAAAAAAAATCCTCTTCTCTTGGTGGGAATATAATTTTACACAAGAGTATATATATGTTGGCTTTAAAAAGTACCTATGTCTATGTCTATGTCTCCAAAATTATTTCTGTTTGTTCCTCAGCATCATTTTAAAAGTAACTATGACACTAGAAGATAGAACGTTCGAGTATTTATTTTCACAAATTAATAAACCTGACCATGAGCAAAATTTTAATAATTCGCACAATAAATTTACACAAAACTTTTTACTTTTTGAATTAATTGATTAAGAAAAAACCTAAAAAATAAACGCTGGCGATTTATCTACATACCGAAATGAGACGCATGTTTCCCTTGTGCCAAAATCTATCTACATACTTTTTTTTAATGAAATTTGGTAGTTAATTTCCCTTATCGAACTAGGCAACATTCACAATTTTTGGACCCAAAAATAGAAAGCTTATATGTTCCAATACCAATGGACCTCCGAAGAGTGCCATACAGAGGTGGTATTGAGTATGTTAAGATGGATATATTTTTGACGTAAAATTGTCGTACATTCATTAGTTTAGTTTCTCTGTTTAATAGATCTGATTGATTGATTTATTCATTTTTATATTTATTTATTAATTTCTAGTGGCAGCATGTGGATGTTTCTTATACCTCCACAACCAACTACCAAATTTTTTTTTCAACTACTGTAAGATGTTTTGAAGAGACTGAATCACTTCTTTTTACAAAAGAGGCTCAAATTTATGTCTATTTTAAAATAAGGTAGACTTTAGCTATCTTTGGTTCTCGAAAATTTCTGGAAAAAAAGTTTAGCGTTAATGAACATTTTAAAAACTTGAAAATATGTTCCACTATTTTCTCTTGGCTATTATTGCAGTAATTCCTTTACGCACGTCTGCGCGACTCTGGAGACGTGGCCAACTTGTTTTATGAATTTTAAACCCGGTACTTTTTGAAGCTATCCTGTATGTCCAAGAAACAAATATTCTTGTTCAAATTTATTTTCTCACCATGCAGGACTTTTTACGAAGAGAATTTTTTTTTGGTAAACTAATAATTTTAGTTATTATAAATAACAAAAATCTTTCGAAAACATTAAATTGAAGTCAAACACATTGAAGAAAGAGGAGGATAGGAGCAAAGTAATAACAATGAGTAAATGGTTAATAGGATAAAAAACACTGACATGTAACATATGAATTAACAAATAAAAATTCTAAAAGAGAAAGATGACACTATTTTAAGTGGATGTTCGATCGCTGCTGTAAAAAATGTGCTGCCCAGGTTCTCGTTTGGAAGTGACTAATCTAAGTTGTAAATCTAGTTTATGATAACCTTTGGTTGAGATTTACATAAACCAGGGGTTAAATTCGGTTGAATTTTACTTGGAAAGATCGAACGAATATATGTCTATGAATATCTATGAAATAAGTATATTAAAGTTTGGAGAATGGCCAGACTCCTCCATCGCCTAAATATGATCAAATTTCCGAATCTGGGGCAGGCATTTTAAATTTTGTTTTTTTGAAGAAATACAGGCAGCCCAGTAGATTGCATTTCAATATGAAATATTGTACATCAATGTTAAAGAATCGGTTAGTTTAAACTTAATAGATTTTTTTAGCTTAATTAGCTTTTGGATTCAACCGGTTACTGTAAAAAAATACCCTTGAATGTTTACAGCCCGCTGTAAAATTGTACCATTTAAATAAATTTTATCTTGTTTATCTTATTAATATCAGTATAATTAAAAAAGCGGATAACATAATTTAATTATTTTGCAGAAACGGGTAGTTCAAATAGAAAACAAGATAAGTCCCAAAATGCAACCTGCAATGGTGTTAAGTATTTAAAGTATTTCAATGTAGTTAAATGTAATTTTAAATACATGTTTTTGTATTTCAAATATAATTTCAATACCCATGAAATTTTAAATACTTGTAATTAATATTTAAAATTGCATCTAAAGTTATGAAGAATCTTCACACTTATACTAGGCCGAGACAGGTATTTATATATATTATTATAATAATATAATAATACGCACTTGAATTTTTACCGTCGTTAAGTATTAATATTAAGATATTATTCGAAACAATACGGACTAATACTCAAGTCACTCAGGATTAATATTAAAAATGGACTAATGGCCTAATACCCTTAATAAAATATAAACATTGTTAGAGGTTTATATTTAAAAAATACAACGTAATTTTATCATCTTCCGCTATATTCAGCGCATATGGAAATGCTACAATGTACAGTGTACAATTTCATTGTACGTGTTACATAATGAATATATAAATAATTCTGTATTTACATTATGATGATGATGACTAATATTAAAAAAAAATAATCCTTATACTTCGTTACCGTTAACTATTGAATTTATAATTCCAACTATGTATTCAAATACTTTTAAATACATTGTAATTTGAAAAAAAAAATTTTAAATATATTTTAAATATCTTTACCGATTTACCATCATATAGATAATGGTATTTTTATATATTCAAAAGCATAGATAAACTAGAAATGCACTACGACTTTTTTGTGAAAAAAGTCACTTTTTAAAAGCAAAAAGATGCTTTTGGATATTGCTGTTAGCTAGAAAACTTGACAGTTGGAATTTCATTTTTTGATTTGTGTTTAATTTAACTAAGTATAATGTAATTACGACATTTTTAACATTACTGCGTTATATGATCTATTATTTATTGTCCCTCTCCTGAATTATTTTCCCCCCTACATGGTAACCACAACAACAATTCATAGTCAGGCAACACTCCTCGCCCCACTCTTACCATCCCTAAACGCCAATGTTTCCATCACAACAGTAGCAATCTTTGCCCTAAGATAACAATGCCATTAACTTCTCGTTTTTTGCAACCTAAATTTAATTCTCGTCCCATAACTAAATATCCATTTCGAAATCTTTTATAAAGGAACTTCAAACACAAAAAGTGAAATATTCCGAAAATTAACTGCAGTAAATCGGAAAATAAATATCAAATAAAACATTTCGTTTCACAGTAGATGCCGCTGAAAGGAAAATTGACAAAGTTCTTCAGAAATGTTATTATAAAAGTGGCTATATTTTTGGGTAATTTCGTGTTTTTGCCTTGAAATAATTTCATCACCTTTAAATAAACGACCAACTCTGTACGTTCTTTGAACCAACAAACGCATTTGCGGCGCCGATAACAAAAACCGAAGCGACAGCAATAAAACAATTAAAAAAAACACACACACACAACATGTACTAACCTGCGATAATGCGTCGGGGTTAGAACAACCAACTCGCGAACTGCGATGGCACTTCGTTCCGTTCAAAGTGAAAGCCCCAAAACTACTAGTCTTCTAAGGCTGTAGACGATTTCGAAAGCTTCTGTACCAAACTAGAGATGGTAGCCCAATGGTTCGCATCAAGTAGTCTGTTGTACAGGGTACGATGGTGCCCGAGTCGCCCCGCGCGCGGTACCAAAGGTACGGCCTACCGATATATTGGCTCCTAAACGTCAGGTACGTAAGGTTCACGGCTTCGTTGCGGCAAAGACAGGGAGCCGCTCGGCTGCGACGGCAAACTCGACCTTATATCGTACGGGGATTAGGTGCGAACGGGTACAAGCGACGTAAGGTTGATTAAGTTTTTAAAATGAGTCGGTTTTTTACTGGGTTACCGGAGGTGTTGCTGTGGTTATGCCATTGGTGTGCTTTTAACTTCTTTAATTAACGTTTAGGAGATTATTTCGTACGGTGGAAAGGGGTGAAGTGCACGGATGGTGTCCAATGGGCATGTTCGGTGCGCGACGGAATTTGACTACCTTCAAAAACCGTGCGTTGTAAAAGTTTTCATCTACTGCAATATTATGCGGTTTTGATATATGAAACTAAATATCAGTGGCTCAGTTAAAAACATTTAATAACCATGAATATATATATCCAAAACACAAACAAATCTAAAATGTAAAAATCCAGCTCCAAAAGTTACATTTTAAAAAACCTTACAAGTATGGCCGCAATCTTCCGCTATTTTATACATATTTCTTTAGATGGTTAAACTCCCTTAGCAACTTCGTCGTCGATTAGGGTTTTGGGTATCTTTTTTCTCTTATTTGAAGTAACAAATTTCTTTTTTTTTATTATTTTTTATTATTTTTTCTTTGCAGTATGTTAGTGACTTCTGAGCCTTCATGCTATTGTCGAGTTAGATATGATTATGTCGAGTATGATTGCATAGAATCTATTCGCAAATACTTTAATTTTAAAGAGTGTTCCTAACGGTTGCTACAATAAAATTATATTTATTTTAGAAGGAAAGTGAATTGTTATTCTTATCATTATTATTATATGTTGTTGTGTGTGTGTTTAACAGCAATTGACCACCGGATATTATTCACGTAACCAGATGATAGAACACCCACGTATCATTTTTGTAGATGAATTTTGAAACTACTAAAATTTTCATTCACTTTGAATAATAACTTACAATGTCGATTACTTTGTACAGAACACAAAGTCCGAACAAAGTTTCTTTTAATGCAATTTTGATGTTTAAAAAAGAGTAATAATTATTGAACTGTATAAATTCCAAAGCACAGGTGAAAGTATATATACAGTGGAATTTAATTGGTAAACGTACAAATACATATATAGCACTAATGATGTTTAACTGGAATGCGAAATCAAATGATTTTCTCTGACTGAACAGTTTTATACAAACGCAAACAAATCTAAAATGCAAATATCCTACTCTCAAAGTTACATTTTAATAAACCTCACAAGTGTATAAACAGTGGCATTTTATCATAACGTTCAAATACTTATTTATTTATTAATATTATTATTTATTTTAATATATTTATGATGTTAAACTGGAATGCGAAATCAAATGCACTTTCTTTATATGATATATTCTATGGGCAAATTTATTTGATTAATTGAATTAATGAAAAACGAAATAGCTTCCAACATTTGGTTTATTTTTAGTATCCAGGTTATAAACAAATCAGCTGATTTATAAAGCTGGCTAAGTAAATGCATAAATGAATCTAAAATCTTCCAAAAAACACATTTTGAATAGAACAAGGAACCATACATTATAATTTTTTTGTTCCATAGCAAATAAGAAAACTTTGTATTTTACTAATTCTTTTATTATTTTGTAGAACATGGCACTTGTTTGATTTGACTTTTCATCTAATTAGTATTTTCTATAATTAAAAAATTTGGATATAAGCATTTCCATATATTCTATTACGGCGATAAGCAAATATCATATTAGCCAACAACAAAAGGATACAAACAACATTTGCCTATTGCAACGAAGTGATGATTAGTAGTATTTTAGAGGTTATTTAATTCTGAATTAAATGTCTCCATTAAAATAAACTGATGGCTGTTTCGAACATAAATACCTCACACATTTGCAATATTATTAAGTACGGGAATTGGGTGTGAACGGATACAAGCGATGTAATTGAATAAGTTTTTAAAATGAGGCGCTTGTTCACTGGGTTACCGGAGGTGTTGCTGAGGTTATGCCATTGGTGTGCTTTTAACTTATTTAATTAACGCTTAGGAAATTACTTCGTACGGTGGAAAGGGGTGAAGTCCACGGATGGTATCCATGGCATGTTCGATGCACGACGGAATTTGACTACCTTCGAGTACCGGGCGTTGTTAAAATTATCATCTACTGCAATATTATGCGGTTGTGATATATGAAACTAAAAATCATTGGTACACACAAACAAATTTAAAATGTAAAAATCCAGCTCTTAAAGTTACATTTTTAAAAGCTTTACTAGTGAGGTCGCAGTCTTCTGCTATGACATATATTTTTGAACTGAGGTGGCTTTTACTTGATGAAAATTCATTTATAAAAATAAATAAGAACTAAAAGTGCAGATTTTCATGAAATTATATATTATGACATGACAATTGTTTCGACAACACCGTGTCTTTATCAAATAAAAACATTTGATAAAGACACGGTGTTGTCGAAACAATTGTCATGTCATAATATATAATTTCGTGAAAATCTGAACTTTTAGTTCTTATTTATTTTGACATATATTTTTTTACATGGTTAAACTCCCATAGTAACTTCATTCGTCGATTAGGTTATTGGGTAACTTTTTTCTCCAGTTGTTTCTCTTGGGGCAAGCTCTAATTCATGTCATTTGAAATACCAAATCGAGCTATTTCTTTTTTTGTTTTATATAAGGAAAGGGAATTGTTGTTATCATCCTTATTATATATAGTTGTAAGTGCATTTTTTCCATTCACTTCTCGAATTTTTAAAGTTTAACAGCAATTGACCATTGGGTTTTATTTACGTTATGAGATATTGTGTTAGAGCGCACTCATATATCATTTTCATGTCTGGTATCATGCATGTGAAAGTGGAAATTCATTACCTTTTTTTATATTTTTAATATGTAAACTGTTATAGATGAATTTTGAAGCCATTATTTCTTTCATTTATTTTGATTACTAGTTTAAAATGTCGATTACTTTGTACAGAACACAAAGTTCGAACAAACTTTTTTTAAGACCATTTTGATGTTTAAAATTTCTTAAAACTAGCTTTTGAAACAAAAATTTTAACAATTATTGAACAGTATATATGCAAAAGCACAGGTGAATATATATTGTTATTGGTATTGGTATTAAAGGGCGGCAACCCCGCGGGCGTCCAAGCACCTAGGCCTAGGCCTCATTGTGCTAGAGGGCGGCCAGAATGCCGCCCCTTCTATAGAAGGTCAGCAACTTCTTTAGCCCAATACCGTGCACTCAGTCCGGATCGATCAGGACCGTTCCGAAAACTCCAAATCTTGCCCATGTCAAAGCTCTGTGAGCAAATGATACGGGGTCTCCCCCCACCCCCTTCACCACCTGCACTCCTGGTCGTCTCCAATGCCTGGCAAGCAAAGATACCTCCTAAGCCTGCAATGTCCTGCGTAGGCCCATGTTAGTGCTCTACACTCCCTTCTGATCAGTATAAGCAGCTGCCTGGTCCGAGGGAGCGCAGGGTGAAAGTATATATACAGTGGCATTTTATTGGTAAAGGCATTTTTATACACATTTAGTAGATCATAAAGTACAAATACATATATAGTATTAATGATGTTTATATGGAATGCGAAATCAAATGCATTATCTTTAAGTGAACAGTTTTAGACACACGCAAACAAATCTAAAATGCAAATATTCTACTCTCAAAGTTACATTTTAATAAACCTCACAAATACAGAAGCTGATATACAGATTTTTTAGATGGTTAAACTCCCATAGCAACTGCATCGTCGATTAATGTTTTGAATATCTTTTTCCTACAGTTGTCTCTCTTGGAGCAAGCTATAATTCTAATGTTATCTGCAATAACAAATCGAGTTTTTAATAGCATATGCGCTTAAAATATTTCATGTTTCCAATTTATTTTTTCTTAATTTTTTTAATTTATGAAAGGAAGTTTGTTGCAGTTTGTCAATTTTTTTTCAAACTAATAGTTTTGCAGTATGTTCGTGACTTCTAGGCCTTCGTCCTATTGTCGAAGTAGATATAATTATGTTGACTATGATTAATACAGGGTATTTTCGCAAATACTCTACTTTTACGGAGTGTTTCTAGTGGTTGATATACAAGGAAACTGAACTGTTTATTATTAGGATTATTATTATCTGTAGTTACGTACGCATTTTTCAAATAACTTCTCAGTTTTTGAAAGTTTGACAGCACTTGACTATTGGGATTTATTTATGTTATAAGAAAATAGGGACTCATATATCCTTTAATATCTTATATTATACATGCGATATTCATTACCTTTTTTCATATTTTTTTTATATACACTGATAATATATGAATTTTGAAGCTATTAATATTTTCATTAATTTTGGATAATGGCTTGCAATATCGATTACTTTGTACTGAACACAAAGTTCGAACAGAAAGCTAGCTCTTAAAACAAGAAGTTTACAATTATTTGACGGTATAGACGCCAAAGCGCAGGTGAAAATATATAAACAGTGGCATTTTATCATAACGTTCAAATACATTCATAATATTAATGATGTTAAATTGTAATGCGAAACCAAATGCACTTTCTTTAACTAATGGCAAATTAATTTGATGAATTGAATTAATGAATAACGAAATAGTTTCCAACATTTGGTTAATTTTAGTATCCGGGTTATAAACAAATCAGCTGATTTATAAAGCTGGCCAAGTACATACATAAATGCATCTAAAATTTTCCAAAAAACACATCTTGAATAGAGCGAGGAAGGGTACATTATAATCTTTATGTTTCATAGCAGGTAAGAAAGCTTTGACTTTTACTCTTTTTTTTATTATTTTGAGAACATGGCACTTGTTTGATTGGACTTTAAGTTATTC